TAAGCCGCTGCCTGCAGTGCCGTCATCCCATATAGGCGCTGGTTCAAGTCCCAGCTGCTCCACTTCCGATCCAGCTCTCTGCTGTGGCCTGGGAAAGCAGTAGAAGATGGCCCAAGTCCTTGGGACCCTGCACCCGAGTGGGAGACCCGGAAGAAGCTCCTGGCGTCGGATCAGCACAGCTTCATTTGCTGCCAAGTGGGGAGTGAACTAGTGGATGGAAGACCTCCCTCTCTCTCTCTCTGCCTCTGCTTCTCTCTCTGTTTAACTGACTTTCAAATAAATAAAATAAATCTTAAAAAAATAGAAATGAGATCCAAAAAAATTTTAACAACAACAAAAAAGGCATTCTCTTGTTCTGTGAGTCTCTGCCACAAGTTTTCTATCAACACCAATCAAAGTCTTCATCCACCGTTCTGGTCCACTTCAGACCTATTGAAGTATGTATAATATGACCGTCATGAGGGTCCAATGGCAGGGTAACTTGCAACCTTGGCCAGCTGAACTTTCTCTTGTCAGAGCCTCACTGGATGCTCACTGCTTTTACACTTACTATCTAAAGGGGATACTGCCTCTCAAATCCAAAGAAACTCATACGAGCTTTGACCCCTTTCTTAGTGGTGGGGAGCATGTGGCGAGTTCACAGTCATGCCTGGGTCTCATCCCAGAGATTCCAATTCAATTAGTACAGGATGGAGCCTGGACATGGCGATTTGTAAAAGCTTCTCACAAAATTCAAGATGCAGCAAAGTTTGAGAGTCACTGGCGCAAAATTCAGTAAGTTGCCTTGTGATTTCCCAGGTGTGGTTTTCTTTTTTCTCTTTATTATTTGGGATTTGCTAAGCTTGTTAGAGCTGTATATTTATAATTTTGTTTTAAATAAAATTTGGAAAATTTTTCTATCATCTCTTTTTTTTGGAATCCAATTATACACATATTAGGCTGCTTGATATAGTCCCATAGGTCACTGAGGTTTTGTTTACTTATTTTATCAATTATTTTCCTCTCTTCACATGGAATGATTAACATTTATTTATTTTTCATTTCATTGAATTTTCATTCTGCAGGGTTCAGCCTGTTGGTTAGCCCATCCAGTAACATTTTTATTTCAAATATAATACTTTTTAAAGATCTAGAATGTCCATTGTTTTTGTAGATTTTGATTGCTTTGCTAAGAATTCCTATCTGTTCATTCATTTTGACAAAATTTTCTATTAAATCCTTAAACATTTTTCATAATAACTGCTTTGAAGTCTTTGTTTATCACTCCCAGTATCTGAATTTATACTGTTTTCCTGGATGAGGGACAGCATTGACTCAAAGGGGCACAAGGAAATTTATTGGTGTCAAACAATGTTCTATGTCTTAATTAAGGTGATTGTTAAACAAACATGAATAACTATAACAAACCCAGTGAAATACAAACTTAAATTATATAGTTTATTTCATGTAAATTTTATCTCAAGTAAAAATTTATTTTTAACAATCCCTGAAACATAAAAGTAGCTTAAAGGAGTTCTATTTTTTAAAAAAATGGACCAAATCTGAGTCCCTGGTAATGATAAGCAGAAGTTACTGGCATGAAAATTGTTATGACAACTATCTAATGCCTTCATCATCAGAACAGAAACTGATGACATCATAATTCACAGATGACTGAAATAACAAACACACAAACTGAAGAGTACAGCAGAACCCATACTGGCTTTCTGACTCATGATGTTTCAGAGGTCTCAAAATGTCCACTTTGAAAAACGTCTGTCCACTCAAGATTCTCCACATATCTGTTCAAACTACTATACCATAAATGTTAAGTGAGGAATCTATGGAAATTCCGACAAAGGAAAGGTAAGAGATTATCCTTGATTTTAATCAAATTTAGCCATAGCCAGATCCTTTTTTGCACATAGACAGTTTCTTATTGGGTAGATTAAATAACACAAAGAAGTTTCATAATCTTGATGGATAAAAATCTAAGGTCAACACACAGGTAACCTGAACAGTACAGCTGAGCCTCTGAATCAGTTTTGTATTCAAATACTTTTGAGAAGGAACATATGTTTTATGCTGCTATCAGTCTTACCTTTCTTGGGATGATCAGCTTCATTATATCATGTAATTAAAAATAATTAACAATGTTCTTCCTGGTATACAACCCTTTTGAGGTCAGGTAAGTATTTTCATAAATATCTTTTTTGCTAACACCCTGCCTAGGAAGTTAGGCTTGGAAGTGGCATTTTTACATTCCTTATACTGTAAAAAGACAAATGAAGGTAATAAGATTGCTGGTGCCAAGGCCAGCAAAGACAGACTAATGTCTTAAAAATCTTCTCAATCTTAGCTCAAATAACACCAAGTGTTTCTACTGTTTCAACTCTACCTTCATATAGACAGACATCCGAGGAGCCGTAGTGCCTCAACTGTAGTCAATGTGTTTAAGTCATGGTGAGGCAGGCTTTACCACGGCTTACTCTGCATGTACTATACTTTATTTAATTTCATCTGTTTCTTTTTCCTCCTAGGAAAGAATGAGATCCAAAATAAAACTAATTCTATTATTACTGATTCTATTGTCTCTATGGGCCTTGAATAAGGAGTATGATTTCAGGTAATTATGAAAACTTAGCAAGTATTTTATTTTGATGTTTGGCAAGGATGTGGTATGTCAAAAAAGTGATAGACTCAACTTCTGAGTAATCAGCATTTAAATACATAAAACCAAATACACTGAAATATATCCAAAGGATATAAAAAATCAGCATAAACTTAGCCTTCAGCTTTAAATCCTTTGTTTCTAATGAAATCAAAGCTACAAATAATTTTTGTAGCCCATACATATGAGGAGATTGTTAAACTATCAATCTGTGTAGTGTGGCAGTGTAGTGTTAGTAAATGTTACAAAGAAACTGCCATTTTGAAATAGGTGGCTTTTTTTTTTTAATTAAAAGCAAGATTTATTAGTCAGAGACCACCAGCCAGAGAGGCATGGAGGGGGGCTTCCAAGAGAGGGAAATACCCAAGGGGCTGGTGGTACTGAGGTTTTTAAACACAATTTTGGGGAAGGAAAAAAAAAAACTTGACATTCAGTTACAAGGTGGGGACAAAACCCATCAAAGAGTTGCTATCTTTTATGCTGTCTGGCTTGCTCATGATAAAATAAAAGGCACCATCAGAAGGGTGGGATACTAATTTGCTTTACAGTAAACTGGGAGCTCAGAGGGAACTGCCACTCCCTTGCTATTCTCTTGGAAGCTTCCAAGGAGGAAGCAGGCAGGTACTTTTTTGTTTTGTTTTGTTTTGTTTTGTTTTGTTTTTTTTTTTTTAGATTTTTTTTTTTAAACTTTTATTTAATGCATATAAATTTCCAAAGTACGACTTATGGATTACAATGGTTTTCCCCCCATACCGTCCCTCCCACCCACAACCCTCCCCTTTCCCACTCCCTCTCCCCTTCCATTCACATCAAGATTCATTTTCGATTATCTTAATATACAGAAGATCAGCTTAGTATACATTAAGTATGGATTTCAACAGTTTGCTCCCACACAGAAACATAAAGTGAAAAATAATAGATGATTTTTTAAAATGATGATGAAATCAGAGCAGACCTATTGTCATGTTTAATCCCAGTGAGAGTCAAGTTGGGAATTGATAATTTCTTTTTCTTTTTTTTTTTTTTTTTTTTACAGAGGATCAGTTTAGTATGCATTAAGTAAGGATTTCAACAGTTTGCACCCCCATAGAAACACAAAGTGAAATATATTGTTTGAGTACTCGTTATAGCATTAAATCTCAATGTACAGCACATTAAGGATAGAGATCCTACATGAGGAGTAAGTGCACAGTGACTCCTGTTGTTGACTTTACCAATTGACACTCCTGTCTATGGCATCAGTAATCTCCCTATGCTCCAGTCATGAGTTTCCAAGGCTATGGAAGCCCTCTGAGTTCTCCGATTCTTATCTTGTTTAGACAAGCTCATAGTCAAAGTGGAGGTTCTCTCCTCCCTTCAGAGAAAGGTACCTCCTTCTTTGATGGCCTGTTCTTTCCACTGGGATCTCACTCGCAGAGATCTTTTGCCAGAGTGTCTTGGCTTTCCATGCCTGAAATACTCTCATGAGCTTTTCAGCCAGCTCCGAATGCCTTTAGGGCTGATTCTGAGGCCAGAGTGCTATTTAGGACATCTGCCATTCTATGAGTCTGCTGAGATTCTCACTTCCCATGTTGGATCACTCTCCCCTTTATTTACTCCATCAGTTAGCGTTAGCAGGTACTAGACTTGTCTATGTGCTCCCTTTGACTCCCAGTCCCTTCACCATGACCAACTGTGAACTGAAACTGATCACCTGGAACAGTGAGATGGCATTGGTACATGCCACCTCGATGGGATTGAATTGGAATCCCCTGGTATGCTTCCAACTCCACCACTTGGGGCAAGTCAGCCTGAGCATGTCCCAAATTATACATCTCTTCCCTCTCCCATTCCCACCACCATGTTCAACAGGGATCACATTTCAGTTAATTTTCAACACTTAAGAATAACTCTGCATCAATTACAGATCTAAACCAGTCATATTAAGTAGAACAGATAAAAAAAACTACTAAGAGGGATAATGTATTTAGTTGTTCATTAACAGTCAGGGCTATGCTGATCAAGCCACCATTTCCCATAGTGTCCACCTCACTCCAACAGGTTTCCCTCTTGGTGTTCAGTCGACAGGCAGAGTGGACAGTGAGAGAGAGAGAGAGAGAGAGAGAGACAGAGAGAAAGGTCTTCCTTTGCTGTTGGTTCACCCTCAGGCAGAGTGGACAGTGAGAGAGAGAGAGAGAGAGAGAGAGACAGAGAGAAAGGTCTTCCTTTGCTGTTGGTTCACCCTCCAATGGCCGCCACTGCTGGCGTGCTGCGGCCGGCACACTGCACAGATCCGATGGCAGGAGCCAAGTACTTATCCTGGTCTCCCATGGGGTGCAGGGCCCAAGCACTTGGGCCATCCTCCACTGCACTCCCTGGCCACAGCAGAGAGCTGGCCTGGAAGAGGGGCAACCAGGACAGAATCCGGCGCCCCGACCGGGACTAGAACCCGGTGTGCCGGCGCCGCAAGGCGGAGGATTAGCCTAGTGAGCCACGGCAGGTACTTTTGACCTTGCTAAAGACAACCTCTGGGGAAAGCAAGAATTTTGCACCCTAAATCTCCACCAGGACCATCCTGACTGCCCACTGCCCCATCGGACTCCTCACATTCCTGCTGCCCCTCCAGAAGAATGGACCCTAACTTCTGTTAGAGCAATGGGCAAACAACTGGGCACAGTTAGAGCAACTGGGCAAACAAAGCTCTGGATGCTTCATGCTGAAAAGGGGCGTCGCTGAGAAAGGCAGTCAGGCCAGGGGTCCAGCAGGAGGTGGCTTCTCCAGGGGACTGCCGTGCCAGCTTACAGAAACAGCTTCCATCCGAGGTTTCCTGTGCATGTTTCTTTAAGAAGCATCATTCGTGTTGGTGACTTCAGGCACTACATGTGGTATTTGCTCCCCAAAACTTTGAGACAAGTAGAAAGAGTTCATTGGAAATCAGTTAAGTTCCATTGTTCCAATGATAGTAGGTCACTTTCTCTTTTATTTGTGTCTCAAAGTATTAGGTTGTGGATTCTGTGTTTTTTTTTTTTTTAAGCTATAACATATGAGGTCCTTAACTGTAATCATTTTTATCATGTTCATTACTATTTGTCTGCAATCAATAATGGATCTGGCACATAGTATATGTTCAGTACATCTTTGGTAATATTAAGTACTTAAGTAAATGGACTGATGGATTCTTGCTCTTGTTATTTTATATGTGAAAACCTTTTATATACATTTAAAAGTAACAATGCTTTTCATTTGTCCTAAGCACAAAGAAACTACAGAGGGTGTATCAGTGCTGGTGAGTCTTTATCTACAATATCTTATGACCTCTTCTTGGAGGGTTAAACTGGTTGTTGGGCAATGGAGTGCCATTGGGTACTTAATTCCTGTAGACAGGGAAAACCAAAGCAATCTTACAAACACATGTTGGAGATAATTAAGGTCAGAATGCTAGGAACCAAAGAAAGAGCAGACTGGCAGAGTGCAGTCTCTGATAGAGGGGTGAGAAGTAGTTACGGCAAACATTACCAGGAGCCAGAACCCAGTAATCTTGAGCCTTTGAAAGTGCTAGGCAAACATGCAGGAGTAAGGAGTCAGTTAAAAGACGCTCAGGAGGTTGTGTTAGTCACGTGCTACCTATGAGACCATAACATCAGAATGCGCTCAGAGAGAAACACCTTCCCGAGGAGAGGCAAGGCTCACTACTACATATTTTTCAGGTTCCTCCTACACTCGTGGAAATCCACATAGTGAAGTGAAGACCAACTTTGCTGTCTGATACTTATTGTGACCAGGGGCCTTGTTTCTCTAATGATTCTATGATTCACAACATTCCTTCACCCTGCCTCTCTGTGAAAATATTAATTAATTTATTTGAAAGACAGAGTTACATGGGGCTGGCGCCGTGGCGCATAGGTTAATTCTCTGCCTGCGGTGTTGGCTTCCCATATGGGCACCGGTTCTAGTCCCGGTTGCTCCTCTTCCAATCCAGCTCTCTGCTATGGCCTGGGAAAGCAGTGGAGGATGGCCCAAGTCTTTGGGCCCTTGCATCTGCGTGGGAGACCCAGAAGAAGCTCCTGGCTCCTGGCTTTGATTGCTGCAGCATCCCACAGGAGCACCAGCTCAAGTGACTGCAGAGTCTTTTTTCAGAGTTCACGAACAGGGAGACCAATTAGGGGACTATTGCAATAACCCGCCCAAGAGATGACAGTGAATTAAAGTCTTGTGGTGGCAGGGAATGGAGATAAGGCTGGATTTCAGAGATGCTTTGGAAGTAAAGCCAGAATGGCTTACTGGTAGAGTTGCTGTAGAGATTGTAAGAGTGCTCTGAGTGTGGAATGGTCCTCTTGTTTTTGTCTTGTCAACACTGATAGATCCATGGGATAAAGCAACACATGAAAAGGCAGTGCATTGGGGGAGAGATGATGACTTTAACATTAAATATCTTCTGTGCAATATTCAAGCAGAGGACTTAAGAACACAGTTGGATGTCTAAGTCTTAAGTTCACAGGAGAAATCTAAGTTGTGTATAAAAATCTGAAGCCACAGAAAAGTGCCAGAAGATAGTATCACATGACAAAATAGAGGACTAGGAGAAATCTTTCTGAGAAATAATTGTCAAATCAAGACTCCTGAGAAAATAGGATATTTAAGGCTAACCTTAGAGAGAAAGCAGTGATAAATTTCCATTGTAAAAGAAAGGAAAAAGTTCAGTGCTATGGGTAAATTTAGAGATGCAATGGCAGAAAGCGGAGGGAGCTTCCCTCTGATGACTGCTATTTTCTCTGAGAATTAGAAGAATGAGAACCAAGGAAAAACAAAGATTTCTGGGCAGCACAGAGAGTTTCGTTAAACTTAGAAACTATGACTTTTCCATGCTACCATAGTTTTTCTTATTGTTTTTCTTATTGTTTCGCCCTCATTTTTCATTTTGGCCATGCAAATCATTATATGATTTGATAGACACTCAATTATCTCAAACTCAAACTTTAGTAAATACAGTATAATTCTTTGTATTATTTTTCCTTCTAGGTCTCTGAAAAATCAACCAAAATTACAGCTATCAGACTGGTTCCATCCCATGTAAGAATCCAAATCTTGCACATCTGAAGTTAATCCATAGAAGTTAATAGATGGCAACGATACCACTGCTGGCATTCTAAATATTGGAGAATAGATGGATCTTTGATTATGACATTTTAAAAAATAGGCAATGACTAACCCACTGGGACTGGACATTTGGACCCACATCCTCCCTGAGAGTTTAAATTACGTAGACTCAAAGGTTCTAGAAAATTGACAGGCCTGAAGTGTGAGGGTGTATTTGAGATTATTTGGTTGGTTCTCTTTGTTTCACTAATGAGAGATCCAGAGCCCAAAGAAGGAAAGTGGGCTGACTGTGTACTTCACACTTCTAACCACAGCCTTCCTCTGGCCCCTCAAATTCCACTTGCTCCCTCCACTTACCCATCGGTCACCCTCATGCCACAGCTTTAACGAATTTCCCTCATTAAAACTTTGAAAGGAGACATCCAGGTTATTAAGATCATTATTCAAGAACAGCTGATGTCTCATCCTTTCATAACATCGTAACATTTGTCAGAGCCTAATCAGGGCACAGAAAGCACACCAATTATTTAAACAGATTTAACGTAAGAATTATTCATTACTCTTATGTATTGCTTATTGGCAAGGATACATTCTGAAAACGAACTGCCTTGTTAGATGATCTGTCATTGTGGGAACAGCTAAATGTGCTTTTTACACAAACTAGATGACTATGATGTCACTAGGGGATATGTGAGACTACCGTCATATATATTGCACATGGCTGTATTAGATGGTCATTAACAAGGTAAAGAAAAGACTGAAGAGAACTCTCAGATATCATGGAGGTAAGCAACTACAGGAGCTAGCTCCCCTAAGGTCGAAGAATAAATTGAGGAGGCTGGAATTGTTAAACCTTAGAAACTTAGAGCGGAAGCTCACTGAACTTAAACTCTGCTGCTGCTCTCAACTGGTGCTGGTGTCTCTGACCTCTGTGGAGGCCTCGTAGAGCTGGGAACCGGATCTCTAAGGAGAGGTACAATGAAGCTGATCTTGCAAGTGTTAGAAAAACTAAAAATTGGGTTCAACTGTTGCTCTTGGAAGAATGTTATTGATGTTATTGGGAGTGAAGCAGTGTTGCTGAGATAGGACTTGCAGGCACAGGAAGCCCACAAGAGGCCTACAGAGAACGGAAAGGAGCGAGATTCTTCCCCTTCCTCCAGCCTTGTAATGTTCCTCCGTGAAGGAAATGGAGCCTAGCAGAGCACCAGCTGGCAGAGGAGAAGGGCTATGATTTGCAGTTTCATCCCCAAGCTGAGAAAGCACAGACTAGTGCTATAGGTTTACTCATGAAAGACAACAGCTTAATAACTGGCACATCAGCTCACAAGACAAGCAAAGTATATCCTGATTACTCAGGTGATGATTCTTCACAACATTTGGACAAAGGAGAGAACTATATAATCATCTAAATAGATTCCAAGTAGGCTACTAATATAATTAAATTCCCATTGCATTTTTTCTTTAATGCTTGTACACCTTTTCACAAGAAAATATTGGCCACTTATACACTCACTTTTGTAAAGTGCCAGTTCAAATCTCTTTTCTCTTTTTTTTCCTTCCTATTGGATTGTCTTTCTTCCTCTTATAGACTTTAAGGAGGTTTTGGGTATTTTAGGTACAATTCCATTGTCAGCTATATTTTATGGAATATTTGCCCTGCAGTTCACAAATTTTTTATTGGGGTAGAATTCATATAACATCAAATTCACCATATTAGCCATTTAAAAATATACAATTATGTGGTTTTTAATACATTCACAATGTTGTACAACTATCATCACAATCTAACTCCGGAACATTTTTTTAAAAAAAGATTATTTATTTATTTGAAAGGTAGAGAGCTACAGAGAGAGAAAGAGATCTTGCATCTGCTGGTTCACCCTCCAAATGGCTGCAACGGCAAGGACTGTACCAGGTTGAAGCCAGGAGCTTCCTCTGGGTCTCCCATTTGGGTACAGGGGCCCAGGGACTTGGGCCATCTTCTGCTGCTTTCCCAGGCATATTATGAGAGGGCTGGATCAGAGATGGAGCTCCTGGGACTTGAACTGACACCCAATTGGGATGCTGGCACTGCAGGCTGTGGCTTAACCTGCTGTATCACAGTATTGGCCCCCAGAATATCTTTATCATACCAAAAAAGAAAAAGAGATCTTGTACTCATCGAGGAGTAAGTCTCAAGTCCTCTTTTTTCCCAGCCAGTGCAAACACTGGTCTGCTTTGTTTCTTCACGAATTTGCTTACTCTGGATATTTCATACGAATAGAATACAATACACTCAGCATATGCGTAAGGCTTACATGCAATCGCATGTATCTGCACTTCATTCCTTTTTATAACTGAATAATATTCCATGATATGGACATTCCACATACCCTATTCATCAATGAATGGGCATTAGGTCATTTCAACTTTTTGGCTATTACAAATAATGTTGCTATAAATATTCAGGTAAAAGTTTTTATTTGACATGTATTTTTTATTCTCTTGGGCATATCAGTGGAATGATTATAGATGGAATTGCTGGGTCACATGATAACTATGTTGAACTTTTAAAGATACAGCTTAAGCTGCAGTAAGTATAATATTCAGTACCTGTCACATTTTCATGCATATGCTCTATTCCTGTACACCGCTAGGAGCTCTTTAACACATATGTTTCCTTTAATACCACTGTGATTTCCTTTACTAATGAGTGCAACCTTCTAAAACGTGAATTCATAGTTACATTGTCTTTCAATTCTGTGACACATACTGAATATAAAATGTTTGAAAAAAACTTCAATGTTTCCTTTGTAGATTGTTACATGTTACCATCCATTTCTATGAATTGAATTTACTAGGAAATCCCAGTTACTTTTAAAGTATATAATAATAAGGTAGCTTATTGTAAGAAACAAAGAAATGAACTTAAGTATTCAAAATATTTTAAGGTCAGGAACAAAATTTGTCTTCATGGTAAACATTCACTTTCTGTAAATCCCACTTGCCTTCCTTTAATTAAAAAAGCAATAAGGATAGATGGGAACTTGAAAGTAAAAAACTGAAGAACGCCAGGCCTAATCCTACATGCAAATTAGCTCCTTTTCTAGCATCTCCTTTGGAAGTTGCTGCTTCATGTGGAAAAACCATCTCCATGATGACACAGCACTCAGTACCAGAATAGTGTGTAACTCTACCATGAATTAAGTCTGGCCGCTCCCATGAACGTGTTCACTTGCCCTTGTGTGGGTTCTTATGAGCACATGGAGGTCCATGGATATGATTCCGCATCTGGCCACAAGTCATGGCAAGACTATACATAGAGATACATGGCGAGACTATACATAGAGATGCAAAGGCCTAACTAGTCTTACTTTAAATGAACTCCAAGTTGTTCTTCTACAAAGCAACCCACCAACAAGTGACAATTAAAGGGTGAAAGCAATGGTGCCAGAGTAGTTGGGTAGCCTGAAAACCCAAACGTGAATGTCTTTTCTGTCAGCAATCCACTTTCCTAGGGTCCAGTTGTATATCCAATTATTTGATGGTCAAAGTATCAGCTTTTTGGATTCTGCTCTCTGAGGGTGTGTGGGGGAATCCATGAATGTAGGAGCAGAGTTCAGGCTGAGCTCTTGAAAAATTTCTGTCTCTTCGTCATAGTCAACCACGTGCAAGAGTTAGCCAGCATTAATATTCTTCCTTAGTCTTCCTGCACACACAACACTGCCATTGAGACTGAAGAGCAAAGAACCTAACACTCATTCATGGTACCTTCAGAAATTTTCAGAATCTATCCTCATGAATTTGAAAAACTGAGAGCCTGGAACTCCATTCCATCAGTTGTTTTACTTTTTTCAGCTAAAAGATTAGTTTTGGAGGCAGAAAGTCCAAAGAGCCTGGCATGATACCAAGCTCCAGCTGCATGATCCTAAGGTGTATGGCATCGCAGGTGAGAGAGCAGGCAAGAGGAAAGATCACTTGGCAAAACAGAAAGAGACTGAACTTAAGGGAAACATAGCTAATTTATTCAAATGGCAGAGGAAGAGAGGGAGAGAGAGAGAGAGAGAGAGAGAGAGAGAGAGAGAGAATCTTCCATCTGTTCATTCACTCCACAAATGCCTGCAACAGCTGTGGCTGGGCCAACCTGCCAGGATCCAGGAACCCTATTCAGGGCTCCCACGTGGGTGGCAGGAACGCAAGTATTTGAGTCATCATCTGCTGTCTCCCAGGCACATTAGTAGAGCCTAAATTTTTTGAGGACCCACCAAACTCTTTTCCACAGCAGCTACACCATTTTACATTCCTACCAATAGTGTTTGAAGGGACTCTGATATGGGGCATGGGCATCCAAGTGGTGCTTTAATCCCTGAGACAAATGCATGACACTTGAGTTGATTTTTGTATGGTGACAGATAAAAATGCAACTTCATTCTTTTTCACGTGGCTATCCAGTTGTCCTAGAACAACTTGTTGGAAAGACTATTCATGGGGGCCGGTGCTGTGGCGCAGCGAGTTAAGCTGCCTTCTAGAGTGCCGGCATCCTATATGGGCACAGGTTCAAGTCCCGGCTGCTCCACTGTCGATCCAGCTCCCTGCTAATGTGCCTGGGAAAGCACAGAAAATGGCCAGAGTACTTGGGCCCCTGTACCCATGTGGGAAACCCAGAAGAAGTTTCTGATTCCTGGCTTCAGCTTGGCCCAGACCCAGCCGTTGTGACCATTTGGGGCGTTAACCAGGGGATGGAAGAGTCTCTCTCCTCTCCCCCTCTCCCCCCGACTCTGTAATTCTGGTTTTCAAATAAATAAATAAATAAATCTTGAAGAAAGAAAAGACAAATCATTTCCCCCAATAAATGGCCTTTGGCTCCCTTGTTGAAAATTAATTGATTGGATATTATGGGTCTATTTACAGATTTTCAATTCTATTTAATTGATCTATGTCTAACTTTATCCACAGAATTGAAATACTGACAATGTAGCTATGAATTCTTTTTTTTTTTTTTTTTTGACAGGCAGAGTGGACAGTGAGAGAGAGAGCGAGACACACAGAGAGAAAGGTCCTCCTTTTCTGTTGGTTCACCCCGCAATGGCCACTGCAGCTGGCACACCACGCCAATCTGAAGCCAGGAGCCAGGTGCTTCTCCTGGTCTCCCATGTGGGTGCAGGGTCCAAGGACTTGGGCCATCCTCCACTGCACTCCTGGGCCACAGCAGAGAGCTGGACTGGAAGAGGAGCAACCAGGACAGAATCTGGTGCCCCAACTGGGACTAGAACCTGGGGTGCAGGTGCCGCAGGTGGAGGATTAGCCAAGTGAGCCACGGTGCTGGCCAATGTAGCTATGAATTCTATTTCTATTACAGTATCTTTTTAGTAAGGTTTGAAATCAGAAAGTACAAGTATGCCAATTTTATTCTTGTCCAAGATTGTTTGGGCTCTTCAGGGTTGCTTGCAATCCCTTATGAATTTTAGGCTCAACTCATCCATATCACAAAAATATTGGTCTCAATGAGTCAGAAAATACTTCCGCCTGTTATGGTCTTTCAAAGACTTTGAGAATGAGTGGTATTAATTATTCTTTAAATGTTTGGTAGAATTCACCAGTGAAGCTTTTTTTTTGACATTCTATTATGAATTACATTTCTTTACTTGTTTTATATCTATCCAGATTTCCTATTTCTTCTTGAGCCGGTTTTGGTATTTTCTTCAATTCTACAAATTTTTCCATTTCATTCAGGTCATCTAGTTTATTAGTATATAATTATTTATATGATTCCCTTACAATCCTTTTTATTTCTATAATGTTCTGCAGTATGTTCCCCTTCCATTCCTAATAATTTGAGATACCTCTCTTTTTCTCTGGGCCAGTATAGGTAAACTTTAACAATTCTGTTGTTCTTTTCAAAGAACCAACTTCTGATTTCATGGTTCTCTTTAGCTTTTTTTCTCCCTTTTAGTAATCTCTGATTCAAAATTTTTATTGTTTCCTTCTGTTTGCTTTGTATTTAGTTTGCTATCTACCCTCCCAACCCTAGTTTCTTAAGGTGATAAATTAGGTTATTGATGAGAGATCTTTTTTAATGTGGGTATTCATATAGCTATATCTTTCTTCTATCTATCTAATTTTCATTGTATCCCATAACTTTTGGCATGTTGTGTTTTCATTTATATTCATTTCAATATATTTTCTAATTTCTATGTGATTTTTTTCTTTGACTCATTGGTTTAATTTCCACATACTGTGAATTTTCCAGATTCTCTGTCATTGATGTTTAATTTCATTCTACAATGATGAAGATACTTGGTATGCTTCTAATATTTTTAAATTTATTGAGATTTGTTTTATAGCCTAACAAATTATCTATCCTATAGAATGTCCCATGTTTATCTGAGAAAAATGTGTAATGTGTTCTGTGTATATCTAATTCTTTTTTTTTTTTTCTGCTCAAATCTGTTGAAACCCTGTAATGAGATGTTGGTGCTGTGGTGTAGACTGTTAAGCCTCCACTTGCGGTGCTGGCATCCCATATGAGTGCCAGGTAGAGTCCCAGCTGCTCTGCTTCTGATCCAGCTCCCTGCTAATGTGCCTGGGAAAGCAGCAGAGGATGACCCAAGTGCTTGGGCCCCTGCACACACGTGGGAGACTCAGAAGAAGTTACTGGCTCCTGCTTTCTGGCTTTGACCTGGCCCACCCTTGGCAATCTCTCTCTGTATCTGTACCTCTGTCTCAAATAAATAGATAAATCTTAAAAAAAAAAAAAAAAGAAGCCCTATAATGAGTTGTCATTTCAGTTATCAGTCTTCTTAGCTCCTTTTCATTTCTCTCTCTTTATTGATGTTATCTATTTGTTGAGATACTGTTTTCCTGTTAATTCTTCCATTCTTCATTTAGTTCTTTACAGTTATTTTAAACAGTTTATTTATTTATTTTAAAAGAGTTAATTATTTATTTGAAAGGCAGAGTTACACAGAGAGAAAGGGAGAGAGAATAGAGAGAGAGAGAGAGAGAGAGAGAGAGAATTCCATCTGCTGGCTCATTCCCCAAATGCCTGCAACAGCTGGAGCTGGGCCATTCAGAAGCCAGGAGCCAGGATGTGGGTGCAGGGGCCCAAGCACTTGGGCCATCTTCTACTGTTTTCTCAAGCTCGTTAGCAGGAGCTGGATTGCAAATGGAGCAGTGGGGACTTGAACCAGCACCTACAAGGGATGCCCGTGCCGCAGGCAGCAGCTTTACCCTCTACACTGCAGTGCTGGCCTCTAAATAGTTTATTTAAAGTCCTTGTCTAGGACATACAAGGTTTGGCCTTTCCTGGGACACTTTCTGTTCATTTTTTTTTCCTGTGAATGAGCCGTATTTTTCATGCTTCATAACTTTTTGTTGAAAAACAAACATGGGGGCCGATATTGTGGCACAATGGATTAAACCACCATCTGCAACACCAACATCCCATATAGGCACTGGTTCAAGTTCTGGCTTCTTGGTTTCTGAACCAGCTCCCTGCTAATGTAGCAGAGGATGGCCCAAGTATTTGGGGGCCCTGGCAACCATATGAGAGGCCTGAGTTTGGCCTAGACCAGTCATAGCCATTATGGCCATCTGGGGAGTGAACCAGCAGATGGAAGATCTCTCTCTCTCTCTCTCTCTGTAACTCTGCCTTTTAAATAAATGTATCTTTAAAAAATAAAACATTTTGACTGTTACAATGTGACCACTCTGTGAATCCAATTCTTTTTAAAAATTTTATTTTAAAAATAAGATTTTTTTACCTCCTCAGAATTCATTCTCGCTTCTTTCTGTGGATTATAGTTTTGTTTATTTAGTGCTATTCTAAACTTTTTTTGAAGACTGTATTATCTTTCTGATCTCTGAGATTTCTGTTCCTTTCAATTGTGGTTAACTAGTGGTTGATGGAAATGTCATTAAACTGGGAATGGGAGGTGGTAGAGGGAAAGAGAAAAGAGGAGGAGGAAGAGGGAGGAGGAGGAGGAAAAGGAGAGGAGTCAGAAAGAAGAAAAAGAAAAGAGACACATGGAGAGAGAGAGAGGGAGAAAGAGGAATCCTCTCAGTCTACACACTGCTCTGTGTTTGGACCCCCCTTCAGTACAAACCCTCCAGCAGTTTACAACTCTGCCCTAGCCTTAACTTCCTGCTGGCACCGAGTATAACTATCAGCCACAGGTGAAAGCTCATGGTCACTTCAGGTGCTTTCTGAGCATGAATCCTGCCCCGGGTGTTTGTGTGGATTTCTAAATTCCTTATTAAATTCCTTATTATACCTGGAGGATCATCAAAATGCTTATTTCCAAAGCAACTCTCTTCTCAAGTGTTCCTTCCAGGCTATCAGTATCTCTAGTGTTTGCCCAGCTATAACCTTTTGCAAGGTGGCAGGGATTTGTTTCTTTTAAAAACATCCTCAAGAAGTGCCCTTCACAAAGACACTTTTCCATTTCAGAGAGGTTTGAATTAGATGAAACAAAGGAAATGCTATTTGTAAGTCCTTCGGGGAACCTCCAGACAGGGTATAATAGACAAACATAATTCCTTGTGAAGAAGGTTCACTCTACTTCCTCCAGAACCAGATATCCACACCAGAAATATGATCTATACTCTTCAATACCACTAACATACTCAACAAGGAGTTGGGGGGCAAGTCTAAATTAAAAAGCCAGAAAGCATTCCTATTTTTACCATGTTGAGTCATTTTTTCTGATTTAAATTTTGTCTGATTGCTCTATATCATTGACAATGTATAGCAAAATTATCACTGGCATCATTTCAGATCATGAAAACTGAGAAGTTTGTTTCTTAAAATATGGTGTTTCAAAATAATTGTCAGCAGGGCCAATGCTGTGGCGCAGTGGGTTAAAGCCCTGGCCTGAAGCTCCAGCATCCCATATGGGTGCCGGTTCACTTCCTGGCTGCTCCACTTCCAATCCAGCTCTCTATTGTGGCCTGGGAAAGCAGTAGAAGATGGCCCAAGTGCTTGGGCCCACGCACCCATGTGGGAGAACTGGAGGAAGCTCCTGGCTCCTGGCTTCAGATCCGCACAGCTCCGGCCGTTGCAGCCAATTGGGAAATGAACCATCGGATGGAAGACCTCTCTCTCTCTCTCTCTCTCTCTCTCTCTGTCTCTCTCTCTCCTCTCTCTGTGTAACTCTGATTTTCAAATAAATAAATTTTTAAAAAAGATAATTGTCAAAATAAAGCAAGAACAAGATATTTTGACTAGGTATAAGAGAAATTACTACTTCAGATTTTGGGATAATTTAACTAAGTGTCCTCAAGTCTACTGGAATCATAATGTAACTAATCTGTAATTATCCTTTGGTAATAATCTTTCCATTTCTGATATATTGCCTCTTCAATTTAACATAGCCTTCAAGGATTTGGCTTAAGTGTAAGAAAATGCCGTAATCAGACATCAGACTTTATGCATTAGTAATATCTCTTGCTGCTTTATTACATTTTGTTTAAACATGTATGCCTTTATTTCAGTACATATGTGAACCTGAGTACTACTACATGGTCGGCTCCAATTGTGTGGCACAACACTTACAATGAGTCGGTCTTGGAAAATTATTATGCAGAGCATAAAATTACCGTGGGGTTGACAGTGTTTGCTGTGGGAAGGTAGGTAATGATGTCAAATGTCCTTTACCTTTAAGCTTTTTTGTTGTAGAAAATGGGAGTTAATCTGCTGGAGCATCTCATAATTTCACTTAGAATTATTCTCTCAATGCCAGTTCCTGCCACAATTCTAAATATCATCACCCACTTGGTCCATTCAAAAAATACCCCAATCCTTCAGTTTCTTTTATATTATCTATTTTACAACCCTCTTCCAATTTAACTTAATTGCCTGGGTTATTGCCAGTCATTTTCCTATCCTCTGTTTCTAAACAAGTCTGTGGCTCTGTTACAGAGCCATTCTCCATTATCCTTACAATAGAGCAACTCAATAACTTGCCCCCTTTAGTGGTTTCCCCAAGTCACAAACTACTTTCAGATAAACTTAAATGGTGTTTATTGGCTTCTCACAGGAACAGTGGTTCAATGTACAACAACAAGGTAACTGCTATTATCTGTAGTATAATTTTCACATGCTATATTTTCTATCAATAAAATGCAAAAAATGACAAGAATACATAAAATCTTCCAGTAATTTTAAAACAAAAGCTAATACCTAATCAAATAGAAAATAAAACCATGAAGGTGGACTCCTAAAAAATTATGATGAAATATTTCCATTTAAAAATGAATGGATATGGCTGGCGCCACGGCTCACTTAGCTAATCCTCCACCTGCGGCGCCAGCACCCTAGGTTCTAGTCCCGGTTGGGGTGCCGGATTCTGTCCTGGTTGCTTCTCTTCCAGTCCAGCTCTCTGCTGTGGCCTGGGAAGGCAGTGGAGGATGGCCCAAGTGCTTGGGCCCTGCACCTGCATGGGAGACCAGGAAGAAGCACCTGACTCCTGGCTTCGGATCGGTGCAGCGCGCAGACCACAGCGTGCTGGCCATAGCGGCCATTTGTAGGGTGAACCAACGGCAAAAGGAAGACCTTTCTCTCTGTCTCTCTCTCACTGTCTAACTCTGCCTGTCAAAAAAAAAAAAAAAAAAAAGAATGGATATATAGCCATTGTATTGATTTCCTGTCTTCTGAAAACAAATACTGATAAAAAAAATAAGAAAACTTTAAGTTCAAGGACATGAGGAAATACTCCAGATATTTAATTTTGAAGATTATTTGCCAAGTGTAAAATCTGATCCTATAATTATGGGGAAGACATCAAATTGGGTCTATAAATCTACAACCTTCAGAGTGTGCACTGAATGTTCAAAATAGGATGAAAGTTCCCCTGCAAACTCAGCTGACAGTCCATTATCTGGAGTACTGAGATGTAGGGGGTATAAACAGATCATAATCATGTCCAAGTTGGCTAGGTATCCCATCCCACGTTGGTGGTGGTGCTGAGGAGAGACAAATCTAGTCAGCGCACTTATCTGTGATCACGAACAGCTGATTCTTCAATTATATCACGTGTTAGCACTGCCACTCTCTTCTCCCTCACACAGTCTCCTTTCAGTTGTTTGTATTATGTTGTATGCAAATGTATACAACAGTCAACTCAATACATATACATGCTTTTCAAGTGTACATGGAACAGTATCTGGTGTAGATCAAAGTTAGACCACAAAAGTCACAATAACATTTTTAATATGGAAACAAAGCCAAATTTCCTGTATTCCTACAACAGAAAGAAAATCTCAAATCAACTGTAGAAGTAAATCTGAAAAATTCAAAAATATAAGGAATTTTCAAAAATTCATGGAAAATGTATATTATGGAAAAACTATGTAAGGATTTCAAAAATTTTTGTACCAAAATAAACTTAGCTTTAAATCCATTTTCCATAAACTTTCTGAAGTACCTTTGTGTGTGGAAATTCAACAGCACATTCTTTTTTTTCTTTTTTTTAACTTTTATTTAATGCATATAAATTTCCAAAGTACAGCTTATGGATTATAATGACTTCACCCCCCATAACTTCCCTCCCACCTGCAACCCTCCCGACTCCCGCTCCCTCTCCCCTTCCATTCACATCAAGATTCATTTTCAATTACAGAAGATCAGTTTAGTATTATTAAGTAAAGATTTCAACAGTTTGCATCCACACAGAAACATAAAGTGAAAAATACTGTTTGAGTACTAGTTATAGCATTAAATCACAATGTACAGCACATTAAGGACAGAGATCCCACATGAGGAGTAAGTGCACAGTGACTCCTGTTGTTGACTTAACAAATTGACACTCTTGTTTATGGCGTCAGTAATCTCCCTAGGCTCTTGTCATGAGTTGCCAAAGCTATGGAAGCCTTTTGAGTTCACCAACTCTTATCATATTTAGACAGGGTCATAGTCAAAGTGGAAGTTCTCTCCTCCCTTCAGAGAAAGGTACCTCCTTCTTTGATGACCTGTTCTTTTCTTTCCACTGGGATCTCACTTGCGGAGATCTTTCATTTAGGTTGGTATCTTTTTTTTTTTTTTTTGCCAGAGTGTCTTGGCTTTCCATGCCTGAAATACTCTCATGGGCTTTTCAGCCAGATCCGCATGCCTTAAGGGCTGATTCTGAGGCCAGAAAACGGCACATTCTTAAACAACCAATGGATCAAAGAAGAAATCACAAGGAAAATTAGAAAATACTTTTGTGATAAATGAACAAAAAACACAACTTATAAAAACGTGCAATGTAGTAAAAGCAATGTTATAAAAGAAATGTCTAGCCCCAAAATGCCTACATTAGAAAGGAAAAAAGGTCTCATATTAGTGACCTAAACTCCTGAAGAATTGGATAAAGAACAGTAAATTAAACCCAAAGCAAGCAGAAAAAAGGAAGCGCTTATTATTAGAGTGGAGATAGAGAATTTAAAAATTAAAACAACAAAACCAAAAATTGATTTCTGAAAAAGATAGCAAAATTGACAAACCTTTGAAAAAATAAAATTGAAGGGGTAGTCTACAGAATACCTGGTCAGGACTCTTCAAAATTGTCAAGATCATGTATAACAAGGAGAGAAATTGACATGGGTTGGAGGTGACCAAGAAGACAAAGCAACTACAGGGAATGTATGTATTGGATTGGATCATGGAAACTAAAAAGGCCATTGTGTGTTGGGGGAGGGATGATAAAATAAATAACCAATAAAATAAAAACTGTGGCTTAGTTAATAATATTTCACTGCTAATAATTTCCTAGTTTTGACAAATTTCCAGTGGTTGCATAAGATATTACCATTAGGGAAAGCTGAATAAAGTGTATATGGGCACTCTCTATCATATATTCGCAACTTTTCTGTAAAACCAGTATCATCCCAAAGTAGAATGATTTTTCAAAATAAAAAAGAATTAACTTTTCTTTAAAACACTGATCTGAACATAAAATATTGATTAATAGAGGCTGAGAAAGACTGAGAATAAAAGGGGCTAAAGGGGGGTTGGACGCTGGGTACCAATCATAGTTGGAAGGAATATGTTCCTAATGTTACCCAGCACAGAGGATTGAATGTAGCTCACAATAGCCTATCATCTATCCTCTGAGCAAACAAAAGAGAGAACTCAAAGTTTCCAACTATAAAGCAATGACAAAGAGGAAAACGTTAATGCCCCAGTTTTGATCAGTATACACTATACAGTTCATTGAATCGTCACACTGTACCCTATATCTATGATTGTTATTAGTAAAAGTATTTTGGTTTAATTTTTCAATAGATGGTAATACTAACTAACCTGATTTGATCTTCACACATGGAATACATATGTTGACTTATCACACTGTACCCCATAAATTATGTGTAATTAAAACCATAATAATTTATAAAATGTAGGAGAATGTTTTCATTATCTTAGTGAGGCAAAGGTTTCTGAAACATGATACAAAAGCAAGTTGGACTTCTTTGGATTCGAATTGCTGGCCTCCAGTTCAGAATATTTTAAGTGATATTTTTCATAATTTACCTAATAATTTTGTATGTTATGAACTAGAAAGTTTTTGTCTGACCTCCAATCTGCTATGTATCTTAAATTTAGATAAGCATTCAGAACTTATTTTTAAGGAATATATAAACATAATTTGAAGCTGAGCCACGTGTTATTATCTTTTCTCTTGAATTTTCCTGAGGCCATTTGTTACTCTAAAAATCTTTAATTGGCTTGAGAGACTGGAAATGAGAAAGTTTTGTTTTTCAGCCTAACTATTCTAGCACCACAGTAAGGGCCACAGGTAAAATATGAAGAGCAATGCAAATGGTGAAGCACTATGTCCCCTCTGATTTCACATGCAGAACTTACTGCTTACACAGCAAGCCACAGACAACACACACCCCCAGCAAACATTCAAATCTTTCTTTCCTACAACGCTTGACAGAGCAAGTTCCCCTTTTCCTGATAACCCTGCTAATGCTGGCTTTCATTTTGGGTCCAGCTCTGCTCAGTTTCCTGATCTCATCAAGTTTTTTTCCTTCTTGTGAGGAACTCTTATTGTATTCTATGTATGATCTGTAGAACCCAAGAGAGCAAAGGCAGATAATTTCATATTCTTCTGTACAACTTAAATGTAATTCAAAAAGTATATCTAATATTTCATTGCTTAGTAGCATTGCTGGATAAGCTACAGTCTATGTAATTTAAATATTGTATGTCCCACTAAAATATAACTTAATAACTTCTTATTTACTTTACAGATATATTGATTTCTATTTGACAGAATTTTTGTATTCTGCTGATAAGTTTTTTATGGTTGGCCAGAGAGTCATAATTTACGTCATGTTAGATAACTTCTCCAAGATGCCTTTGATACAACTGGGTCGCTTCCGTACCTACAAAGTTTTTGAAATTAAACGAGAGAGGAGATGGCAAGATATCAGCATGATGCGCATGAAGATCATCAGTGAACACATTGTTGATCACATCCAATATGAAGTTGACTTCCTCTTCTGCATGGATGTGGATCAATTCTTCAAAAACAAATACGGACTGGAGACTCTGGGAGAGTCAGTAGCTCAGTTACATACTTACTGGTATCAGACAAATCCCGACAAGTTACCTTATGAGAGAAATCAGTTATCAGAGGCTTATATATCTATGGGTGAGGGAGATTTTTATTACCATGCTGCTGTTTTTGGGGGCACTACCATTCAGGTTCTTGATATTGTCAGAGAGTGTGCCAAGGGAATAATGAAGGACAAGAAAAATAGCATTGAAGCAGTGTGGCATGATGAAAGCCACTTAAACAAGTATTTCTTTCTTCATAAACCCACTAAACTCTTATCACCAGAATACTGCTGGGATAGTCATCACAAAGATTCTAATATTAAAATTATCAATCTCACTTGGAATTTTAAGAATTATAACCTTACCAGGGAGCTATCATAATTTTATAGCTCTTCCTTCATGTTTCTGAATTTAAGAACATTGTTTTGCCCTATATAGTAGAAAATTAGCACTTGACAAACTTTAATAGTAAGACATCGCTGATAAAATGGCAAGTTTACCAATATAGTACACTCATATTTTTCCTCATATTCATTTTATATCAAATAATGTGGGATGCAGTAGTTACAAAATGAGTTTACCTAAATCAGTTGGAGATATAATAATTTAATATTTTGTGTCAGTGTTGAAGAATCACTATTTGTTGGATTATACTGAACAAAATAGCTTGTGCCACCAGAAGATGAAGTCAGAAATATTTTAAATGATAAAAGTAGTTATGAATTTCTTATATTACTTAGGAAAAGGAGTTGTCTGGAGGTATAGGGAGAGGAAGATTCCTGCAACTATACTAATGTGCCCTGAATATAAAACTTTGAGGACATTAAGGCTGTCACCAGATGGGCACACAGCTATTTAGGAAAACTTTGATTCACTAAAAAAGAGCTATGTGGTTTACAACTACAAACTTTTTTTGTTATAAAAAGCAATGAAAAGAAAATAAAAACTTAAGGAGAAAATTTAAAGCTCTTTTAATCTCCCTTTGAAAACCTATTACTCCATATTCCTTTTCTGTGTCTATATTTGCATTATATGAATACACACATTTGCATGTTTTGTACAAATTGACTTATATTACACACAAATACCTATACACACATTTTATCTGTAGTCAGGGTCCAGTTAGGAAAGTAAAAGCTATTATTCTAGGTATTCAAATAGTGGAAACTTAATACAGGGAATTAGACCTATAGATGATGAAAGAGTTGAGCAGCATAAAAGGGAGAATGAGGCAACCCATACATTTTTTAAAAAGAATATTTATTGGGGCTGGCGCTGTGGCATAGCTGGTAAAGTTTCTACCTGCAGAGCCAGCATCCCATATGGGCACTGGTTCGAGTCCTGGATGTTCCACTTCCAATCCATCTCTTTGCTATGGCCTGGAAAAGCAGAGGAAGATGGCCCAATTCCCTGGGCCCCTGTACCCACATAGGAGACCTGGAGGAAGCTCCTGTCTTCCGGCTTTGGATTGGCACAGCTCTGGCCATTGTGGCCATCTGGGGAGTGAACCAGTAGATGGAAAATCTCTCTCTCTCTCTCTCTCTCTCTCTCTCTCTCTCTCTGCCTCTGCCTCTCTGTAACTCTTCCTTTCAAATAAATAGATATTTTTTAAAAATAAATATTTATCTATTTGAAAGACAGAGTTACAGAGATGGGGGAGACACATACACAGGTATCTTCCATCTGCTGGTTCACTCTCCAAATAATCACAACAGCCAGGGCTGGGCCAGGCTGAAGGCAGGAGCCTGGAACTCTATCCCTTCTCCCACATGGGTGCAGGACTTGGGCCATCTGCTGCTGCTTTCTCAAGAGTATTAGCAGAGAGCTGGATCAGAAGTGGAGCAGCCATATGGGATGCCAGCATTGCAGGCAGTGGCTTAACCCACTGTACCACAATGCTGACCCCCATATTTATTTTCATTGAAGGTAATAGTACTCCAAGGGCTGGAGATAAAAATGTAAGATGTTCAGAAAGAACTAGAATCTAGCAAGAGTTTGTGAGCTAGAACAAGAGAGAGAGGAGTTCCAGCCACTGCTAGATAAGCCAACCAAGCTGGGAGTAGGGAGGAGTTTGCAGGGTGGAAATCCAAGCCTTTCCTCTCCCCTTCCCAACACTGCTCTCTTCTGTCAGTGTTTTTCACTACTTGGTGATATACAACCATCAAAGGGTAAGGGAGTCTGGGTAATGTAGGCTTCTGCCACATTGAGCAGAGCATAAAGAGAATGAAAGATTTGAAAATAAAGCAGTAGATGGCTACTACAGCCTACTCATTTTGTCACAAAGCACCCATTCTGACTCTTCCATCCACATATAACTCCACAAATCACTTCATATCTCCACCTAGAATTCAACTAACTTGTGTGTAAAGAATCCCTTTTTTCCCAAAAAGGAAGAATACAAACTACCATCTTACTGAGTCTTCCTCATCATGTCCGGTAACCCCAGATGATATGAGGTCCTCTCTATTTGAAGTGTTTGTAGTTTTTCGTGGTTTGCTGAACTCTGATCTAAATTAAAAGAACAACTTACTCATTAAAAAAAAAAATGGGAAAAGGGAAAACACGTAATTGGTTAGCATATAGAGATACATATGTATACACAAAATATATACAATACCTATTTGTAATAAATAAGTTAAATATGCATGGCTGCTATAGTTCTCACTTATGCAACTGGTCACAAGATCAAGTTCATATTTTTTTACTCTTTTTTTTTTCCATCGCCAAATTCCATGTGCCTTACTTTCTGCTAGAATCTTGGTTGGATAGGGTTCTTTGCCTGATAAAACAACATGAACATTTTCTCTATGGGATCCGAGTCTTTTAATTTTATTTTAAAGATTTATTTATTTTTATTTGAAAGAGTTACAGAGAGAGGGAGAGACAGAAATAGAGGGGGGAAGTGGGAGAGAGAGATCTATCCACTGGTTCATTCCCCAAATGGCTGCAACCACCAGGGCTGGGCCAGGCCAAGGCCAGGAGCCAGTAACTTCATCTGGGTCTCCCATGTGGGTGCAGGAGCCCAAGCACTTGGGCCATATCCTACTGCTTCCTAGGCTCATTATCAGGGAGCTGGATTGGAAGTGGAGCAGCCAGGATGCAAACCAGTGCCCAGATGGGATGCCAGGCCCATAGCGATGCCAGCGTGGCAAGAGGCAGCTTTACCCACTATGCCACAGGGCTGGCCCCAGGATCTGAGTCTTTACCGGATTTTTTCTTTATTGGATTACCACTGCTTTCAAGTTTTTACAGTTTTGATGAGGGCCATTGGATAAGGTAGTAATAGACTCCCAGTGATCACCTTGAGCTCTAAAGATAGCCTCTATTGCTCTATTGTATAGCAGCAACTAGTTATTGTTCTTTCTTTTTTAAGATTTATTTATTTATTTGAAAGTCAGAGTTACAGAGACAGGAAGACACACACACACACACAGAGAGAGAGAGAGAGAGAGAGAGAGAGAGAAAGGAGAGATATCTTCTATCCCCTGGTTCACTCCCCAGGACTGAAGCCAGGAGCAAAGAGCTTCATCTAGGTCTCCCATGTGGTTGGCAGGAGCCCAAGCACTTGTGCCAACTGCTGCTGCTGTTCCCTGGCCATCAGCAAGGAGCTGGATTGGAAGTGGAGCAGCCAGGACATGAACTTGGATATGCAGAGGGGCTTAGATATATCCAGAGTAAGCCAATGCAGCATGCTACCTGTTCAGTTTCTAATACAGTTTCAGGAGAATGACAGTAAGAGAAGAAAACACTGGGGAATGAAGTCCTAATTACTATATATGTTTATTTTTTGACAGCAGGGGAAACCTTCTACAAATAAGTTACAAAGAAAGAAAAGGCAAATAAACAACGTTGTACAAGAAATCTAACACATTCTGTACAATGCTTCATGTTGCCCACATGTTCCTTGGAAATGTCACCCGTGTATCAGGTCCCTGTGTTTTGGTGGAGATTTTCTTTCACCTCTTGGTGGGCATTTGCATTAGCATGACATCTGGGATTCTTGCTTTTTTTCTGCTCAAGGATCACATTATCCTTTACTTTTTGTGTCAGAGACTGATGTAAACACTCTACTAGATATTAATTGTGAATAAATATTCCAACCGTGAGTTCAGGAACTAGTGCAAAAATGTTGTCCTTCTGTTCAGTAGACCACATGGCATTTCTACCCCACAGAAATTGTCGTCAACTCAGAGCTGGTGTCCACTCTGCATTTCTCCCAAGGAAACAGTCATACTAGGAGAACCCCAGGTTCTCCTTGAAGGTGACAAAGTCTCCCCTTCAGTTAAGGCTCTTAAGGTGTCTGTAAACTAACCTAGGTGTGGGAACATAGTGAGAGGCCATTCTTAGTGTGGCAACTCCAGTCACAATTCTGCTCTCTAGGTCTAGAGTTTCTCTAGTTATAAAGAATTCATCATTCTTATGAAATCAAATAGTTGACTTCAGTATCTCCCCACATGGATTCGTTTCTCAATGATGGGAAAGGAAAATGTCTCCTAATTCCGCAAATGGAAAGGGAATGGACTGAACAGAATAAATTCACTCCAACATTCCTGCCTCCCTCACCCTTCGGATTTCTTCTCTATCGTGTGAGGAAAATTATGACTTCTAAACCTCATTAATTATAGGCTATCACTGAATTCAAATTTTCGATTAACAAACAAGAAAATTCTTAGATACACTTATAGCTGACAGAAAACATTAGAAATCCAGAGTTTTAGTTAAGTGTAATTGTTTCAATAACTTCTGCTCAATTGAATTCTATTCCATTCTTGGTCTAACATCCATATAATCCACTCCCTCTTGTGTTTCCTTAGTTTCATAAATAAGAACTTGAAATTCTTTTCATGTGGAAGCTGTCTCCTAGTGGAGCAGACCTTGAATTCTCTCTTTGAGCCATGCTGTATTTGATACTATATATTAGGTCTACAATAAGAAGGTGACCTTATAAACCAACTGTCCTGAATGGGCTCATTAGAGCATTATTAAACAGGAAAAGACTAGTCTCCATACAGACGTTTCCATTGATAAGGGAAGCTCAGGGTGATTTAAAATTTCAAGTTCTTTTTCTTTTTTTTTTGACAGGCAGAGTGGACAGTGAGAGAGAGAGAGAGAAAGGTCTTCCTTTGCTGTTGGTTCATCCTCCAATGGCTGCCGTGGCTGGTGCGCTGCGGCCGGCGCACCGCGCTGATCCGATGGCAGGAGCCAGGTGCTTCTCCTGGTCTCCCATGGGGTGCAGGGCCCAAGCACTTGGGCCATCCTCCACTGCCCTCCCTGGCCACAGCAGAGAGCTGGCCTGGAAGAGGAGCAACCGGGACAGAATCCAGCGCCCCGACCGGGACTAGAACCCGGTGTGCCGGCTCCGCAAGGCAGAGGATTAGCCTAGTGAGCCGCGGCGCCGGCCAAATTTCAAGTTCTAAGATTCATCTGAATCCATTCAATGTTTTCATCCCATATGTAAGAGTCTCTAATTTTAACACAATAGACTTTTAGAAATTGTATGTTGATCATGCTTAATGAAATAAGCCAGTCCCAAAGGGACAAATACCATATGTTCTCCCTGATCTGTGATAACTAATAGAGTACCTAAAAGGAAACCCGTAGGAGTGAAATGGACATTTTGAGAAGCAATGACTTGAACAGCCCTTGTCTTGACTGTTGAGGAATGGTATTTTTTTTTTCTTAATGGAGATTGGGACTGGGAATGGGAGAAGGGAGGAAGAGAGGTGGGGGTGGGGGTAGGGGTGAGAGGGCAGGTATGGTGGGAAGAATCACTATATTCCTAAAGTTGTACTTATGAAATTTGTACTCATTAAATAAAAAGTTTGGGGAAATAAAGAAATTATATGTTGAACACATATTCTAATTATGTATATCATACAGTTATATTTTTTATTTTTATTTATTTATTTATTTTTTTATTTTTTGACAGGCAGAGTGGACAGTGAGAGAGAGAGAGAGAGAGAAAGGTCTTCCTTTGCCGTTGGTTCACCCTCCAATGGCCGCCGTGGCCGGCGCGCTGCAGCCGGCGCACCGCGCTGATCCGATGGCAGGAGCCAGGAGCCAGGTGCTTTTCCTGGTCTCCCATGGGGTGCAGGGCCCAAGCACCTGGGCCATCCTCCACTGCACTCCCTGGCCACAGCAGAGAGCTGGCCTGGAAGAGGGGCAACCAGGACAGAATCCGGCGCCCCAACCGGGACTAGAACCCGGTGTGCCGGCGCCGCTAGGCGGAGGATTAGCCTAGTGAGCCACGGCGCCGGCCCTCATACAATTATATTTTGGGCCTTGTCCTCAGCCATGTATATCTTATGGACACACACATGAATACACATATACCCAGATAGTATCACAAAAGTCATATGGTTCTGTGTCCATGCCTTGAGCTGAGAATTTAAATTTCTGTACTTATTTTATGTAAGCTTTCTAGAACTTTAAGAAGCAATTCCACCCTACAGATCTTGTAGTCACTGTAACTACAGTGAGCATAGCAGCTGTTCAGTGTCCCCAAATCTTTCCCTCAATTGACACATTCTTCCAAGAAATCACAGGTGATAAGATAGTTTAAAGAATTATGTCACATGCCGAAGATTCCTTGTAATCCTATTCTACTTGTAAGGAGTTTCATGGTGGCCTAATTCAAACAGGTGAGCAAATCAATTCCAGAATCTAATTGTGAAGGTCTATTTCTCAGGGCCTTTGGGAGAGAGTTTGCATAAATGGCCAGGATTGGAATCAGAATTGTAGCACAGTGAATTAAACCATCACTTGCAATGCCAGCATCCCATATCAAAGTGCTGGTTTGAGTACTAGCTGTTCTGCTTCCAATCCAGCTACCTGCTAATGTGCCTAGGAAGATGGATCAAGTACTTGGACCCCTGTCACCCATGCAGGAGACCAGGATGAAGTTCCTGGCTTCTGACTTTGGTTTGACACATACATAAATGTTACAGTCATATGGGAAGTAAGCCTGCAAATGGAAGATCTCTCTTTCTCTCCCCATCTCTTCCTTGTTCTGTGTGTCACTTTGCCTTTCAAATCAGTCTATTATTTTAAATGGCCATAATTATTCCTGGATTCTTGGATTCTCTGTATTCCAGGCCTTCTCCATTGCCCGAGCTGACCATTGCCCAATATCCAGGTATGTTATATGGACCAGCAAGACCCCAGCCAATCTACCAGATAATTGTAAATACATGAAACTCCCTGGTCCAGATCAACAGAATCACACAAGGACCCACAGACTCACGGGTAAAGCTAAAGCATTATTGCTTCAACTCATCATGGGTTTGAGAGGTTTGTTATGCTGCAAATCTGATATCAGATTACTCTAACGATCAGGAACTACATCAGTCAGGGTCCAATCAGGAAAATCTGGATATTTCAAACGAGGTGTTTCAATGTGCGAATTGGTTGTGAGATGACAGGACTGCTCAGGAGCTAAATAGAATTGTGAAGAAAGTCAAGAAACTGCAGTCACCCTAGGGCTACAGAGCCACAGGAAAACCAAAAGCCAG